TACAACATCTATGAGAACTTTTTCAATGCAAGGATAACATATGAGGTCATGATGGACTTGCTGTCTACAGGGCAAGAGAATGTCCCAAACTACAGTTGTGGAGGACAAAATAATCTTCTGGCTGTGCTTGAAGAGACTGATTCGGAGTTCTTTACTTCCATTTCAACTATGCTGGGCATCTACAAAATTCCACAAGTAGGAATGAATACTGAAGCTAATTTCATTTTGTAAAGTCCACTGATAATCCAAAAGGGGTCAGATAATGAATAAAATGAGTCAGATGACAGAGCTTATAGCACGCCTGAAATATACTATTTTCATCAGGCATTCAAATACATTTCTTCATTCTTACATCATTGCATATCTTGATTTTTTTAAAAGATATACAGGTTACACAGAGATTTTTCAACTGAACGAACCTTCACCCAGAGCTCATCTGAAGTGCTGTCAACCATATTTTGCATGGAATTTGCATCCTCTTTTCCCGCCCTTCTGCCTCTTTTCCCTGTCTTCTGGTCACTGCAGTCTCATTTCTTGGCAGAGAAAAAGATCTTTTCACCCTTATTCCAACCAATTCCAAACAAAATCTCTAAGGATTGTAATGAAAATAACTTAGGCAAATGTTACTTTAAGAATGTTTTTCCCTACTTGCACAAAGACAATGAAAACATACCCAGCTGACATATTTTTTTCTACTGCGTTCACATGATGCTCCATTTTCCCCAATCTATGATCAAAGCAAATCAAATGATATATTTTTAAAGCCTTTGCAATACAAGAGTACAGCAAAAAGAGAAACACTGGAATATAGCCATTTGTTATTGGGGAAAGGAAAAAAAAAAGAATAGGACAATAAAACAGCATATCCAATGGAAAATTCTGTGCAGTTGTATAACTTGGTGAATATAATTGACCAGCTGATATGTCAGTATAGAGTTAACATCAGAAAAAAAATCCCTTAGAGGTAAGCACTTATTTTTGTCCTTAAAAGCAAAGCAATCAACCATCTTTTCTGTTTCATCTTAGATCAACTATGGGGTCATCAGCCACATTCCAGAGCAGAAACATCATTTCCCTTTTTTCTACAGGGTGAGTCCAAAACAAGAACCTCCTCACTTGGCAATTGTTAAGTTGCTCCTGCATTTCCGATGGACGTGGATCGGCCTTGTTGCTTCGGATAATGAAAGCGGAGAAAAGTTTAGAAAAACCTTTGTGCCAGAAGCCGTAAGGAAAGGTGTCTGTGTTGCCTTTTCAGAAAGCTTACCCAGGGTTCTTAGAGAAGGGTGGTTAAAGGACATCCTTGAATATTTTAGCTACACTAAAGTGAAAAGTATTGTTTGTCAGTTGGACTCTCAGTCCTCATTAATACTAGCAGTGCTAATACGAGACATTGAAAAGAAAAAAATCCTGTTTGAGGAAAAAGTATGGATTGCTACAGCTTTGTCAGATTTAAATGTGAGATTATTTTACCAATTGGTTAATCTCCAGCATAACCATCTTTTATTATCCTTCTCAACAAAGGCAAAGATAAGGACACAATATTATGATTTTAAATCACATTATTCTGCTACAGGAAAGTTTGGGGAGGCAGCATTTCACTGTTCTTATTCAAGCCCTTTGTTGTCTAAGAAAGTTTGGAACAGATGCCTGGAAAAAAAGACCTGGGAAATCCCATCCCTGGATCTGGTTGGAAGAATCCTGTCTGAGGATGGCTCAAGCATTTCCACAACAATCCAGGTTGTGGCCTGGGTCCTCAGTGCTGTCTTTTCCTCCCAAATGAGTAAGAGGAGGATGCCTGTTGGGGACCACCAGACACTCCAGATGATACAGCCATGGCAGGTAATGCTTCTTCAAAAGGTTGCTGATGGTTCCCTTTCAATTCTTAAATGTTACATTAATAATAATAATAATAATAATAATAGTAAAGTTGGAAGGGACCTTGAAGGTCATCTAGTCCAACCCCCTGCTCAGGCAGGAAACCCTATACCATTTCGGACAAATGGCTGTCCAGTCTCTTCTTAAAAACTGCCAGTGTTGGAGCATTCACCGCTTCTGGAGGCAGGTTGTTCCACTGGTTAATTGTTCTCACTGTCAGGAAGTTTCTCCTTAGTTCTAGATTGCTTCTCTCCTTGATTAGTTTCCACCCGTTGCTTCTTGTCCTGCCTCCAGGCGCTTTGGAAAATAGCTTGACTCCCTCTTCTTTATGGCAACCCCTGAGATATTGGAANCTCTTTCTAAAGTCTCAACATCTTTTTTACATCGCGGTGACCAAAACTGGATGCAGTATTCCAAGTGTGGCCTTACCAAGGCATTGTAAAGTGGTATTAACACTTCACGTGATCTTGATTCTATCCCTCTGTTAATGCAGCCTAGCACTGTGTTGGCCTTTTTGGCAGCTGCAGCACACTGCTGGCTCATATTTAGGTTATTGTCCACTAGGACTCCGAGGTCCCTCTCACAGTTACTACTAGACAAACATCATCTTATGGGGATAACCTAACAACAATTGCCTGTTTCTAATATTTGTTCTGACCAGATGACGCATTTTAGAGAGAGAGAAACAGATAGATTGTGTTGCTGAATCTTCTAGATTAAACCTGGGGTGCTGCTTCAGGATGCTTGTGAGGTTAGGATATGATGTCTCAAGAGACTGGAAGATTCTTTCAAAAACTGCTGAATAAATAAGCAGTAGGATGTGATAATAACCATCATGCTCTATTGAGCTTTCACCATTGTTGCACAACATGTTTGGGATCTGAGATTACCAATTTCATAAAGCAGAGCAGGCTAAAATAATAAACTAAAAAGATCTATATATGTGTGAGAGGGGGAGACAGACAGACATAGACAGACAGACAGAAAGAGTGGAAAGAGCCTGGAAGAAACAATGGGAGTGGGAAAGAAAGAGAGGGAGAGATGTAATTAGAGAGAAAAATATAATCTTCCTACCACATTTGCAGACAGAAGCACTGGGATAAAGTACCTCTGTTTTGACTTAGTGCTCAAATGAGAATGTATACTTTGCAAGGGTGATTCTCCATGTCTTTTCAGCTCCATCCATTTCTAAGAAACTTCCAGATTTACAATTTTTCTGTAAATGACGTTTATTTGGATGAGTATGGAATTTCCACTGCTGACTTTAATATCGTGGACTGGGCAGTATTTCCCAACAAATCTGCTGCTGGGGTGATAATTGGGAATGTTGAAAAAGAAGTCTCTTCAGACATCAAGATCTCTGTGGATGAAAATGCCATTGTATGGCCAACATCTTTTAACCAGGTAACCAAGTCTGCCTCTATGTGGGTTTTATTGTTTTATTTTATTTTATTCCCATGTATCCATGGGAATAAAATATTTTTATTTTATTTTATTCCCATGTATCCATGTGATTTTGTGGTTTACCAGTTTTTTTTAACTCAGATGTATCCATGTGATTTTTTGGTTTATCAGTCTTTTAACTCAGATGGAGAGTCACCACTGCTAAAAGAACAGGTTGAAGGAGACACTATTTCTCCTGGTCCTCTCAAAAGATCTGTTCTTATAGTAAGGGATATCTGGTTTGACATTGCAGTGATAGAGATGTGGGGAGAGCAGAGCTCCACATCCCACATCTGATTTTCTTCTGCCAGGGAGCCCCAAAGGGCCAAAAGTCATCCCAGAGAGGCAACAACAAAGGAGGAAACCCTCGTTGATTACGGGCAGATGGCAGTTAGATATTTGATCTGAGGAAATCCTTCCAACCTGACAGAAGAAAGAGGGACTGCATTCATGCAGTCTGTCCAAGAGCTACTGACAGCAGGGAAGGGCAGGGACTAGCCCTATGAGAGGATCAATAACAGCATGTCATGGAACTGGGTGAGAAGATCCTCTTTCTATCTACCATTTTTGAACACTATTCCCTGGAATAGATAAATTCTCCCAAAGCAAGAATTCCCCAGGTGTGACTGGAGGAAGGGGATTCCCCCCCCACCCTATGAGAGAAACAAAAGTGGCAGGAAGAAAACTTTAAGAGGGACAGGAATAGAGAATACAGAATGATAAACCATGAGTAATATAAAGACATTGCTTTGCTAAATTTGATCAACTGTCAAAATTATTAATTTGTGCTTGAAAAATAACAGTATGAGACTAATCTAATGAATAACTTTCGATTTAAACTCCAATTACTTGGGAGAGAGTGACATCTAGTGGTGAAATAGAGACAAAATCTTTCACTATATTATCCCTGGGATAGACTTGGCATAAAGCCCAGATACAGATAAGCAGGCAGCTGGATGACTTTGAAAGCTCTTAGAACTGTAACAAACAGCTGAAAATGGAAGCAGGATTTTATGTAATATTTTATCACTGAATGTATGGAATTATACTGCACACTGTGGATTACAAAGGTCAGTTGACCTGGGATTTCAAGAAACATCTCGAGACAGAGAACAATATGGCTTTTTACTACTCCTGGCTTGGTGAGTCTTACTGATTGGTTTAAGACTGGCTGGCCATTTTGGATTACAAACATTGATTGATTGGCAACTCTTGGACTTTGCACTCTGGACACAGGGCTCCAATAGACTATCAGACCTGATACTGATAGACAAAACTGGACTACAGTTTTTAGTTTTTTGTAGCAAGTCAGACAAGAACTATAAGAATTACATAAAATGATTTTAAATTTAAATTGTGTACTGATGTATTGAATATGAGATCTGGGTTTTTTTGCAGATAAAGATACTTTCCAGGGAGCACAACAGATTGATGATAGAGTAACTGGAGGGCGAATTAAAAAAGAGTATCCCAAACTGTGCTAAACCTTGTAAAATACCTGCTTCAGCACCATAATCTGGATAGCCCAGTCCAATATATCAGAGATCGATTTAAGCCATGATTCAACAAAAAAGTGAACAATTTTCAAAAGGAAATGCAAACAACATTGCAATCAATTCAGGAATAGAACATGATGACTGAACCTTCATTGCATTGCAATAGAATCTGCCCTTTTTGGGAATATGTCAGAATCTAGGAATGGGGGAAAGATTCCCAGCCATATGAAACAGATGCCCACCTTAACACCAGACCAGGAGAAGATGATGCAATTGGCCAAAGATTTCCCCAGCCATTTCCTCATTTTGCGTCCTGGCTTTGTGGCCAGAAATGCCATCACCACCATGATAGTCTTGGCCAGCATAAAGAAGATACAAGGAAACAAGGAGACAAGAAGCAATTTGGATAAGATAAATGAGCAGGTCTTCAATATAAACTCACAATTAGAAAATTCTCAACAAATGATTACAAAGAATGAGCAAAAAATCCAGAAAATGGAAGAGAAATCAGAAGAAACTGAGAAAAAGATGGAGGAAATAAAAGAAGAAAATCAAAGATTAGCACAGGCAAATAAAAGCCTGGAAGATACAATCACAATACTGGAAATGGAAAAAGTGTCACACTTTTTAAGACTACAGAACATACCTGAAGATAAGGAGGAAGTCCTAACAGAAATGATTACTAATTTGTTTGCTGAGGCTCTAGAAGTGGAAAAAAAAATGAGCCACTGTTGTATAGAAAAAAAGAAATTGTGGTCTTGAACAGATCCCTAGGAGGATAAGAGATTCTCAAAAATACTACCAATTTTTGATTATAAAATTAAATGAAAAAGGAGTGAATTTCAGATGGTTGGTCCTGGAGGGAATATTAATAAATTGGGATATGAAAACATATAGATTGGACTCCATCTTTAAGGCAACAGAGTTCTATGAGACATATAGAAGTTTTCTTGAAGAGAAAACACAAGAACCACAAGAGGATAGGGAAGATGAAATACAGAGAAAGTTAGTAACAGAAGAGACACCCATACAAAGAGAAGAAGAAGAAGAAAACGCAGATCAAGAAAGAGAGTAGGTGATAAAAGAACAGAGACAGGAAAGGTCCACTAGGTGAATAAAACCTAAATATAAGTAAAGAAGATGGAGAAAGAAAGTGGAATTTTCTCAATGAATATAAATGGATTGAACTCCCCATCAAAAAGAAATATTTTTGCATGATTACGGAAACTAAAAATAGATATAATTTGTCTCCAAGAAACACATATAAAAAAACAACACTATAAATTGCTGGAATGCCCCAAAATTGGGAAACTTTATTTTACATCAGCACATCAAAAGAAAAGAGGAATCACTTTATATATAAAAGAGACATTGGAATCCAGACAGGTCTACTCAGATGAAGAAAGAAGAATCCTAATGGTAGAAATAATGATAAATCAAAAACAGATACTGATGGTAGCAATATATGCACCAAATAACAAACAAGAAGAATTTTATCAAAAATTACACAGGAAAATATTAGAAATGGAACATCAAAACATTTGCTTGATAGGAGATTTTAATGCAATTGTAGATAGAAAATTAGATTATAGAAGCAGCAAAGGAGGGAAAAAGGGAAGAAAGATAGAACGACAGAAGAAATTTCCATAGATGGAGACAGTGAAACATAAATTAAATTTAATAGAGTCAGAAGAATTGACTCTACAAATAAAAAGGGTAAAGCAAAACTTTTTTGAAAATGCAAACAAGCCGGAAAGATGGTTGGCATGTAAACTGAAAAAAGAAAGAGAGAAGAAACTGATAATAAACTACAAGATGAGAAGGGTAACTTCCAATTTCAAACCGATGCAATTAAAAAAACCAAAGAATTTTATGAAAAATTATATGATGTAGAAGGAGTTTCTCGAGAAAAAATGATACAATACTTGGAAAATGCAAACCTACCAAAAATACCAGAAAACCTAAAAAATATATTAAATGAAAAAATTACAGTGATGGAAGTGATAGAAGCTATAAAAAAACCAGAAAAACGATAAAACCCTAGGACCGGATAGGCTACTCGCAGAGGCTTACAAATGTCTACAAGATACATTAAACCTACGAATGAAGGAAGTATGTAACGAGATATTATTAGAGGCCAAACTACCAAACACAGGGATGGAAACAAGTATTAATTTAATATCAAGAGAAGATTCAGATTTGTCACAGATAAAAAATTATAGACCAATATTATTATTAAATGTGGATTATATTTTTTTGCCTCAATAATAGCAGAGAGATTGAAAAGGTTCTTGACTGAAATTACTACTGTTAGATTAGCAAAAATGTTTAAAAATACTTGGTGAGAAAAGAGGAGTTTACAATTCAAACCTGAGTTACACAGATTTTCTTCTATTGAATCATTCAATGATTTTTCAGAACTGGAATCTTCTTTGAGACTGAATTGATAGTAAATTGAGATCTAAGCAATACAAATTATAACAAGGCAGAGGAAATGTTGCGACAGATGGTGTTCTAGCAATTGCTAAGATAAGACGAAGTAACCCTTTGCTTTCCATGCTTTGGACTAGACTTTCCACAGTTTTGTATCCTTGACCAGTTGGCTGAAGCTGATAGGATCTGAAGCCCAAATGCAGAAAAATTCCAGGATAATGATGACTGGACTGGAGAGTCAACAGCTTTTTCTGAACATTAAGGGGACTCTGAGATCATAGCCTGCTGAAATGAAACTGCTAGTGGAGAAATTTCACTAAAACAAAAATGTTTTCATTGTATTTGGAAAAAGATCTTGAAAGTACCTTCTTGAATTCATGAACCCACTTTGGTGCTCACTTCCATTTTTAGAAGTAATCCCTTCATTCATACATTTCTCTGATTTTTTTTTTCTGTTCAGAAGGCCCCCTTTTCTAGGTGTACGGAAAGTTGCCTCCCAGGATATACCAAGCTGATGAGAGAGGGAGAACCAGTTTGCTGCTTTGACTGTTCTTCGTGTATGGAAGGAACTATCTCTGTGCAGGAAGGTAGGTAATTCAAGAACAAAGAAGCAGCACCAGTCTTTTATTCTATGGAGGATATAGTACCAATAACAATTGCAGTTATACATATATTGCTTCATAGTGCTTTACAGCATGCTCTAAGCAGTTTACAGAATCAGCATATTGCACCTCAAAAATCTGAGTCCTCATTTTACTGACGTCGAAAGGATGGAAGACTGATTCAACCTTGAGTTGATCAGTATCAACTCCAGGCTGTGGGCAGAGTTAGCCTGCAATACTGCATTCTAATCACTGTGCTACCACGGCTCTGATATTAGCAAGATTTGTTCTCATATACCAATATGTTACATCTAGACTCAGGAAAAAGACTAAAAACACTGCAAGAACTGTTCAGTGAAGGTAAAATTTACCATGGTAGATGCTTTCACAAGTTGCTGAAACAATAACAAGCAATCTTGAAAAAGACTGAGACCTTAAGAAATACGACAGCATTTGAAACACATATACAAAACAAGATTTATGATTAAGAACCATATATAAATTGTTTTTGAAATACAACATGGGGATGGAAAAAATAAACATTTTTATGATAAAATGGATGCAAAATGTAAAACAGTTGATCACAATACAAAAATGAGAATAGCTTTCAAAAAGAAAAATACAGAAAATTCACACCAAGTTATAATTTAAGGGGAAATTGCTGCAAAATGTTTTTCAAGTGTTCTACAACTACACCAACAATTGCAAAATAAACAAATAATAGAACATTAACCCTAACCCTCACCTCAGACACTACTAAGATATTTTTTCTGGCAGTTGCAAGAACTAATTTAGGAGAGAATTGGAAAAATAGATATTTTGTCAGTGATGTTAGATTGGGAGGTCAATTTGCAGAATATGCAGCAATAACACAATTGACAATGCCTACAGCAGTGATTCTTGGCAACATTAAGTCATGTGGACATGAACTCCAGAATTCCTCAGGAGCCATGGAATTCAGGGAATTGGGGAATTATGGCTGAGGAATTCTGGGAACTGAAGTACACGTCTTAATGTTGTGAAGGTTGAGAAACACTGATCTACAGTATCTGTGATGAAGTTTAAGCAACTTTTAAAAAGAATAGCTCTCCTATGTGGAACACATTGAACAGCAGGATATATTTAAAGCTTTAGTACATGATTTTTAACTAGGAAGTTGTGAGATGAATCAAAACTAATATCAGATGCCAGTAAGAATCTTTACACTTTAAAGTAAAACACACATACACAGAAAAACAAATAGATTATGTGTGGAAGTGATGTGTTTGTGTGTGTGTGTTTATTCTACTCACAGCTTGAGGAAATAACAAAAGGGAAGAATGTTTTCCAAAAACATAATTATCTACTTTATTCATGCTTAGTAATTAAGCATTTTCCCTTGCATTTTATTATTCTAATAATATATTTAAAGAGAGAGAGAGAGAGAGAGAGAGAGAGAGAGAGAGAGAGAGAGAGAATCTTTATTGCTCTATCTATATCCTGCTTCTGGTCGGTTGGTCATGATGTGCTGAATGTCATTGAATCACTATTTAAAAAGCAGTTGTGTTTTACAGATGTAGCCCAATGTGCAAAATGTCCAAATGACCACCTTTCCAACAAGAAGCGGGATCAGTGTGTCGCCAAAGTTATAACTTTCCTGTCCTACAGAGAAAACGTAGGTGTCATCCTGGCTGTCTCTGCCCTTTTTTTGTCTCTTACCACTGCCTTAGTTCTAGGAATTTTTATTAAATATCGAGAAACTCCCATAGTCAAAGCTAACAACCGTGATCTCACCTACATTCTGCTGATCTTTCTCCTGCTTTCCTTCTTGACTTCCCTTCTATTCATTGGTCAACCCAAGAAAGTGACATGCCTTCTTCGACAAACTGCCTTCAGTATTGTTTTCTCAGTTGCTGTGTCATCCTTGCTGGCCAAGACTATCATGGTGGTGATGGCATTTCTGGCCACAAAGCCAGGAAGCAAAATGAGGAAATGGCTGGGTAAATCTTTGGCCAATTGCATCATCCTCTCCTGCTCTGGTATTCAGGTGGGCATCTGTTTCATATGGCTGAGAATCTTTCCCCCATTCCCAGATTCTGACTTATATTCTCAAAAAGGGCAGATCCTACTGCAATGCAATGAAGGTTCAGTCATCATGTTCTATTCTGCCCTTGGCTACTTGGGCTTTCTGGCTTCCATCTGTTTCTTGGTGGCTTTTCTAGCCCGAAAACTACCAGGGGGTTTCAACGAAGCCAAGTGGATCACCTTCAGCATGCTGCTCTTCTGCAGTGTTTGGGTTTCTTTTGTCCCCGCCTACCTGAGCACCAAAGGAAAATACATGGTGGCTGTGCAGATCTTCTCCATCCTGACCTCCAGCCTCGGCTTACTCGGCTGCATCTTTGTCCCCAAATGTTATATCATCATTCTGAGACCTGACATGAACGCGAAGGAGCATCTAATGATGAAAAACAATGAGTGATCTTGATTTTGGCAGTTATATTTTATCCAAATTATTGCTAAATTAAAATAAGATATTGCAAACAGTTATTTGTTCAAAGAATTTTTTCTTCCTCCCATGTGATTAATCTTACTATCAATAAATAGCATAGTGAAGGTTATTGATGTTTCCTCCACCAATTTAAAACCATGCCTTTTGTCTTCTAACCTACATTTCTTCAATATCCATTCAATGTATGAGATTAATACATAAGAGAGGAGAATACAGTGTTGTCTCATTTCTTTACTGATCTGGGATCATACTGTTTAACTCTGTTTTGTTCAGAGTCTGGCTTCGAGTCCTTGTGTAAATTTTTTAAAAGGACAAAGAGATATTGTCAGATTGTCATTTCTCAAAAAAATTCCATATCACAACATAATTTCTTTTAATTATTCATTTATTT